GAATGCTTTAGAATTAAGGTATTTGACTATAATTTTGTTTAAAGAATTTAGAATATGATAAAAGTAGTGCTGGGCAATGATAAATCGCAATTAATCGCGTCAAAACTTAAAGTTTGTGTTTACATAATAAATGTGTGTGTAATGTGTATAATTATTTTGTATTTATAAATACACACACATGCATATATGTATTTCACAAAATATTTGCATGTATAGACGAATCCGGCGAAACCAGCGGACGTAAGCGAGCGCCATAACTGAGCTGTTGCTGGGTAGCGTCGCGCCATCGCCTCCTATTGTTTTAGTTGCGACTTGCGTCCACTGGAATACACAGCCCGCGATTTAATACGAATGTTACTAACGTTACAACTTTTATAATGTCGAGTGAGACACTCGTCTCTCCCCTTCTCTTCTATTCTCTTCTATATCTGTCCATCTATCCAACTATTGTTCTATCTATCTGTCTGTCATTCTTTCCATCATCCATCCACCATCCACTGTTCTTTCCATCCATCCATCCATCCACCCATTTATTCATTCATCCATCCATCCATAGTTCTTTCCATCCATCCATCCATCCACCCATTCATTCATCCATCCATCCATCCATTGTTCTTTCCATCCATCCATCCATCCACCCATTCATTCATCCATCCATCCATCCATCCATTGTCTTTCCATCCATTAATCTTTCTTCCCATCCATCCATCCATCCATCCATCCACCCACCCACCCATTCATTGATCCATCCATCCATTGTTCTTTTCATCCATCCACCCATTCATTCATCCATCCATCCATCCATTGCTCGTTCCATCCATCCATCGTTCTTCCCATCCATCCATCCATCCATTGTTCTTTTCATCCATCCATCCATCCATCCATTCACCCATTCATTCATTCATTCATTCATCCATCCATTCATCCATTGTTCTTTCCATCCATCCATCGTTCTTCCCATCCATCCATTCACCCATTCATTCATTCATCCATCCATCCATTGTTCTTTCCATCCATCCATCGTTCTTCCCATCCATCCATCCACCCATCCATCCACCCATTCATTCATCCATCCATCCATCCATCCATCCATCCATCCATCCATCCATCCATTGTTCATTCCATCCATCCATCGTTCTTCCCATCCATCCATCCATCCATTCATTCATCCATCCGTCCATTGTTCGTTCCATCCATCCATCGTTCTCCCATCCATCCATCCATCCATCCATTGTTCTTTCCATCCATCCATCCATCCATTCACCCATTCATTCATTCATCCATCCATCCATCGTTCTTCCCATCCATCCATTCACCCATTCATTCATTCATCCATCCATCCATCCATTGTTCTTCCCACCCATCCATCCACCCATTCATTCATTCATTCATTCATTCATCCATCCATCCATCCATCCATCCATCGTTCTTCCCATCCATCCACCCATCCATCCATTCATTCATTCATCCATCCGTCCATTGTTCGTTCCATCCATCCATCATTCTTCCCATCCATCCCTCCATCCACCCATCCATCCACCCATCCATCCATCCATTCATTCATTCATCCGTCCGTCCATTGTTCTTTCCATCCATCCATCCATCCATCCATCCATTGTTCTTTCCATCCATCCATCGTTCTTCCCATCCATCCATCCATCCATCCATCCATCCATTCATTCATTCATTCATTCATTCATCCGTCCGTCCATTGTTCGTTCCATCCATCCATCGTTCTTCCCATCCATCCATCCATCCATCCATCCATCCATTCATTCATTCATCCGTCCGCCCATTGTTCTTTCCATCCATCCATCGTTCTTCCCATCCATCCATTCATTCATTCATCCATCCGTCCATTGTTCTTTCCATCCATCCATCGTTCTTCCCATCCATCCATTCATTCATCCACCCGTCCATTGTTCTTTCCATCCATCCATTCATTCATCCGTCCGTCCATTGTTCTTTCCATCCATCCATCCATTCATTCATCCGTCCGTCCATTGTTCTTTCCATCCATCCATCGTTCTTCCCATCCATCCATTCATTCATTCATCCATCCGTCCATTGTTCTTTCCATCCATCCATTCATTCATTCATCCATCCGTCCATTGTTCGTTCCATCCATCCATCGTTCTTCCCATCCATTCATTCATCCATCCATCCATCCATCCATTCATTCATTCATCCATCCATCCATCCATCGTTCTTCCCATCCATCCATCCAAATTTTACAAAGTTTGTCGTGACAATGTTTACTTTTACCAGTCAAAAAATTGCAGTCACAAACTTCTAATTAATTTGAATTCTGTGTCCTTGCCTTTACATTCGAGCTGCACCTCCGCGTCCCGTTTCCTACATTAGTGTAAACTGACTGAATCTCACAGTACGTTTCTCAAACGTCTCCATCTTTAAACGCTCTCGTTGTCTGTGTGACGGATTGATTCCGCCGCTCTGTTGCAAGTTGTTTTGCGTGGATTAAAGCGTCTGCTAAACACACACGATGTAAACGCACAGTTTATCTTTAAAGACAGTGTAATGCTTCGCTCCAGCGGATAAGTGTGTGTGATGGATTACAGTTGATCCGGCAGTGTGAATCCGCCAGCAATGCCGTAGAAAACTGTGAGCTTTAAAAACAAAAGGCTTAAACTGTCCAGGAATATCCTAACAGTCTGACCTATAATTATCTGTCGAGGTCAGAAACACACGAGCAGGACAGCTGGGTCAACACCGCGCCGAGGGTCCGAGGATTACAACCAAAGCTCTGACTGAACTGGGAATGATATATCGCTGACACTGGGATTCATTTAAAGGAGTAGTTCACATTAAAACTTCCTGATAATTTACTCTCCGTCATCCCAAGATATTCACGTCCTTCTTTCTTCAGTCGAAAAGAAATTAAGAACACACTCCAGGATTTCTCCATATAATGGACTTCAATGGGGTCCAAACGGGTCGAAGGTCCAGATGTGAGTTTCAAAGTCTCGACACGATCCAGCCGAGGAAAAAGAGTCTGATCTTTACAACAAAACACACATTTATATACTTTAACCACTAATGCTGGTCTTGCTCTCGCTGTGATGCGACACACATTACGAGATCAGGGTGAAAGGTCAAGCGGGACGTAGGCGTAAGAACCAATCTAGTGTTTGTGAACGTGCAACGACTGAGACAAACGCCATTTATAATAAATAAATACATACATTTTGATCTGTTCTTACGCCTACGTCCCGCTTGACCTTTCACCCTTACTCGCAGTGGTGGAATGTAACGAAGTACAAATACTTCGTTACTTTACTTAAGTACATTTTTCACGTATCTTTACTTTACTTAAGTAGAATAAATAGTGCCTACTTTTTACTTTTACTTCGTTACATTTTGCAGCAATTATTATACTTTCTACTCCACTACATTTCTACAACTTCTGTTACATTTTCGTTACATTTTCTGATCAGTTTTTCCCCTGCCGAAACGTAATCTGACCGTCCGTTCGTTGCACGTTTGTCTCACCAGTGACGTTTGGTTGCCATAGATACAGTACATCAACTAAATGCGTCTCACACGCAGTGTGTTTATCATGCAACTCATACGTGAAAATTAGTTTTTACGTGCATAGGAAACACACCGTGTGTAATATATGTTTGGTTTGGTTAGGATTATGGCAAGCCAAGAGGTTCAGAATTACACCATAAATGAATCGCGTTTACTGCCAAACATAGTTATTAACATATAGTAAGGATAAGCATGATATTGCCTAATTGCAAGCTTGTTTCAGAAATGGTGACATTTTTTTCCATCATTATTGAACATCATTATAGGAGTAGGCTATTAGGTTGAATGAGTTAGAATTAAATGTTTTATTAATCATTAGAAAATAGACATTAAGATAATGAATTGTTATGCAAGTACTTTTACTTCCAATACTTAAAGTACATTTAAAATAAAGTACTTTTTACTTTTTACTTAAGTATGGTTGTCATTGTGTTACTTCTACTTTTACTAAAGTAAATTTTTATCTGGGTATTTGTACTTTTACTTAAGTACTGAGATTCAGTACTTCCTCCACCGCTGCTTACTCGTAATGTGTGTCGCATCACAGCGAGAGCAAGACCAGCATTAGTGGTTAAAGTATATAAATGTGTGTTTTGTTGTAAAGATCAGACTCTTTTTCCTCGGCTGGATCGTGTCGAGACTTTGAAGCTCACATCTAACCTTTGACCCGTTGGATATAAGTCCATTATATGGAGAAATCCTGGAGTGTGTTCCTCAAAAACCTTCATTTCTTTTCCAACCGAAGAAAGAAACGCATGAATATCTTGGATGAGGTTAGAGCTGAGTAAATTGTTCACAACATGATCTCGATCTCTCACTGCTTTTCTGAAATAACATCTACAAGTTGCAATGATGTAGTTTATGAGGTGAAGTTAATAATGTTTGATTTACAGTCTTCATAAAGGTGATCCAATTAACATATCTGCACTAGATCCAGTGGAATGGCTAAAACGGTTCAGGCTGCGCTGGTTTAATGACTCTGATTGAAGACACACGTTAACGCTCCATTACAATCCGGATGATTCACATGTTGTGCGTTTGCTCTGGTTCCAGAATCACTGTCTCAGTTCAGCTCTTTGAAGCCAGTTGACCATTATCCTTGACATCGAGTGCACAACACCCAATGGTACTGGATGGCAAATGAAGTCCTTTCATGATAAGTTGTTTCCCAAGGTTTTCCACTGGATTACATTGTTCAAGAATCCTTTGAACTTGACATTGAACTTAAGCAGACTTCGGTTTGCAGAGCCGTAAAGTTTGCCCGTTCAGATGCTTTTGGGAAAGTGAACAAAGCTCTGATTCACACTGGAATATTTGTAGTCGAGCATCATTTTTTTGAGTGATGGTGCAAATGAATCTTTGAATCGATTCGCTGAACAGTGATTCACTAATGTTTCGTATAGGATGTGATTTGCAGTGTTTTTATTGTGTCTCTCTTCTCGTTTCAGAGCAATGGATCATTGGTGTGGTGTCAGAATCACAAGCAGTGCTCAAAGGTAAAACTGTGTATCCTATTTTAGTACCATTGAAGGGGATTTATAATGCAAAGTTCATTTTACATGGTGTTTGGACGTGTGTGTTGGCAGTGTGTGTAAACAACCCCCCCTATAATGAGAAAAATCCACACACTCCTCTTTTTTAATCCCCATAAATCATAAGCAGTGTTTAAGAATAAGCCGGTTTCTAATTGTATGCAATGTGGCATCACGTATGCTTAGGCTCCGCCCATGACTGCTGATGGATTAGCATAGCTCCGCCCCTGAGTGAGCTGTTCAGTCCACCACGTTTTATCTCCTTGTTCAAGCAGCATTCAAGTAATATATATATTTATTAAAGTTATTCAGTCAATAGCAGTGATTTTCTGTTTTCTGCATATTAACAGCATATATACAGAAGCGGTAGGTTATATTATGTATTATAATTATATATATTCCCTGCTGTTTACGTTCACAGGCATAACCGAGTGTGTTTAAGTGAACATTGTGTGTATTTGACTGTTTAAGCGCAATAAGATGTGAAAGAGAACATAGTTTAATCCCCAGCTTTCTGTGTGTGTGTGTGTGTGTGTTTCGGATGTGTGTGTGCGCTCAGAAAACTAGACTTATATGGCTTTAAAATGCATGCAGATAATAAACTTTCATAATAATGAAGAACTGCAATCTCACGTGAGCCGTGATGGAGATGATCATCAAAACCAAACAAACAGAGTTTTGAAAGAACTTTATGCATATTTTCAATCTTCATTTTTGTAATGCAATGAAAAGCCATTCTCATTATTGCAATGCAAGTAAAATTGTCATAAAAAGTTTAAAAATCTTGTTACAGCAATGCAAGAAAAAACAGTGATGTTTTATTTAAATTTTAGTAATTTTACATTTTTAAAAAGTAAGGTTAATGTGTTTTGCATCTCATTACTACAATGCAAGAAATAATAGAAATATTTTATTAACATATTCATGAAGTTTACAAGTTAAAGTAAGATTAAAGTAATTTGTAGTATTTGTTGTACTGCCTTTTTTGAGCTGAAATGCATAAAAACACTGTATTGCAGTGACACGAATCTACTGATAATAAGGGGAATTATAAAAGTATGTTTTGATGTTGTGGTGAAAAGGTTTCAGGTTAAATTCAACGCCTCATTTCATGCATTGAACTGAAGTGGATGCAGATGTAGTGTCCGTGTCGGTATCTCTCGCATGTGTAAATGTGATGCATACTCTACATGTACTATGGTAACAGTAATATTGAGTCTCTGTGGGGAGCTGAAGGTATAGACGAGTCATTACACACTCACTGGAAGGCATCATGCATGACGCTCGTTCACACATCAGCGGTTACAGAGGGACAGAAAGTGGCCAGACTTTACACTTACTTTGCTTTCTTGATCCAAATAGTTTGATTATATTTGTGCATGATGTGCTGCAACTTCATTTACAGTCTCTCGTGCATTTTACATAAGGAGCGTATTTTACTTTTCACAAATATTCATTGTTATGTTATGTTTGCTAACTCACTTAAATGTTGGGTTAAAAGTTGAGAGTTACCCATCTATGGGGTGGTATAGCACCTAACCAAACATTGGTTATTTTAACCCAATGCATTGGGTTGAATGCCAGTTGGGTTAAAAGTAACACTCTAAAATGCTGGGTTGTTTTAACCCAATTTTGGGTCAAATAAGGACAAACCCAAATGTTGGATTAAAAAATGCAATTAATAAATTTAACCCAACAGCTGCCACTGTAAAAAATATTTTCAAGATTCGTTATCACAACATATTTTCTTTTGTCAAATCAACTTTATAATAATTTATTTAGTTGGGATAACTTATTATTTTGAGTTTCTGATGGTTAAATTAATATCCTTCATTGTATTAACTCACTTTTTCCAGTTCAATCAACTACAACTTACAGTGTGGGTTTGTCCATATTTGACCCAAAATTGGGTTAAAACAACCCGACATTTTTTTAGAGTGTAACTATTTATTTTTATTCATGACATTATTTTTTGTTTTCAAATACAGATTGTTTAGTTGTATAAAACAATAAATATGTCTCAACAAATATATTTTTAAATTCAAAACTAAATATTAGGGAGTCTAGAATTTGATGTGAATATATAAATGATTGTGTACGTCAACTAAAAATACACAGCATACGTATTTAACCCAACAGCTGGGTTATTACTAAAACGGTTTTTAAAAATGACCCAAATTTTGGGAAAATAACCCAACATAGTGACCCAATATGAATAATAATAATATGTTTTTTTACTAGGAATGCATTATCTAATGTTTTCAAAAACGAGACCTTAATGTGACGTGTTACCACAGTTTATTGTGGCGTGACGAGTGAAGTTCAGCCAAGATGAACACAAATGAATGTATCTTCACGAGAGGTAATAAGGATGTCAGAGGAGATGCACGGCGCTTGAAAAGCAAAGCCGCTTTGTTTTTGCGCTGGAATGCAACAAAAGACCTGCTCTTTCCTTTCCACGGCGCTGGCCAGTGTTGGGTCTTGGCAGAAGCGCTGTCCCCAGTCATTCATCAAGCGCTGCTGTGTGTGTTAGAGCAGGATTTGGCTGTTTGCGTGTCTGAGCTGGGCTGGGCGTTCCCATTTCTTCATCTCTCAGACTCGGAGAAACTCTCCAGGAGATCATGCCATGCTTTGACTGAGTGTGTTTCTGTTGCTAGCTATCTGTCAGGCATACTTCAGGATCATGTTTTTTTTGCACTGGTAATTAGTGCTGCATATGTTCTCTGGGTGGGACTGGGTTCAGTCTGGCCTGATGTTAGTCTAAGAACACATGCGTCAGATGGACGTCTTTATGTTGCTTCATGTTTCACGTTGTTGTTGGGTTAATAGTTTGAATTTTTTTTTTAAAGCGAGCTTTGTGCCATTTGTGCAGCATTTAGGATGTAAAATAAGAATGTCGTTTAATTTACATTGCAATTCAGTTCCTGGATGTAGATTGATGTAGAGATGCAGAACTGCGACTGTTCTGGGGGAATTAAACTGCGTTTGAAACTCAAACAAATTCAGATTACTGATTTGAAGATTTATGGGTGGATGGTTTGTTTAATGAAAGATGGATGGATGGATGATGGATGATGGATGGATGGATGGACGGATGGATGGATGGATGGGTGGGTGAATGGAGGGATGGATGATGGATGGACGGATGATGGATGGATGGATGGATGATGTATGGATGGATGGGTGGATGGACAGATGGATGGATGGGTGGATGAATGGAGGGATGGATGATGGATGGATGATGGACGGATGATGGATGGACGGATGGATGGATGATGGACGGATGATGGATGGATGGATGGATGGATGATGGATGGATGGATGGGTTGGTGGATGGATGGATGGATGGATGATGTATGGATGGATGGATGGACGGATGGATGATGGATGGATGGACGGACGGATGGATGAAGGATGGATGGATGGGTGGATGGATGGATGGACAGATGGATGAAGGATGGATGGATGGGTGGATGGATGGATGGATGGATGATGGATGGATGGACGGATGGATGGATGGGTGGATGGATGGATGATGGATGGATGGACAGATGGATGGATGGATGATGGACGGATGATGGATGGACGGATGGATGGATGGGTGGATGGATGGATGGACAGATGGATGAAGGATGGATGGATGGGTTGGTGGATGGATGGATGGATGGATGGACAGATGGATGAAGGATGGATGGATGGGTTGGTGGATGGACGGATGGATGGATGGATGGGTGGATGGATGGGTTGGTGGATGGATGGATGGATGGATGGATGGACGGATGGATGGATGGATGGATGGATGGACGGATGGATGGATGGGTGGGTGGATGGATGGATGGATGATGGATGGATGGATGGATGGATGGATGGATGGATGGATGGATGGATGGACGGATGGATGGATGGACGGACGGATGATGGATGGATGGACGGATGGATGGATGGATGGATGGATGGATGGATGGATGGATGGACGGATGGATGGATGGATGGATGGATGGATGGGTGGGTGGATGGATGGATGGATGATGGATGGATGGATGGATGGATGGATGGATGGATGGATGGATGGATGGATGGACGGATGGATGGATGGACGGATGGATGATGGATGGATGGACGGATGGATGGATGGGTGGATGGATGGATGGATGGATGGATGGATGGATGATGGATGGATGGACAGATGGATGGATGGATGATGGACGGATGATGGATGGATGGATGGATGGATGGATGGATGGATGGATGGATGGACGGATGGATGGATGGATGGATGGATGATGGATGGATGGACGGATGGATGGATGGGTGGATGGATGGATGGATGATGGATGGATGCACGGATGGATGGCTGGGTGGATGGATGGATGGATGATGGACGGATGGATGGACGGATGGATGGATGATGGATGGATGGATGGATGGACAGATAGATAGATAGATAGATAGATAGATGGACAGACAGAAAGACAGATGGATGGATGGATGGATAGATGTGTGTGTGTGTGTAAGTGTGTAAGTGTGTGTGAGTGTTGTTCTGCTGTTAGTGTGTGTTGGCTCAGGCTTGTAGAGTGTGTTTGCTCATCTCCTCTTAATAAAGTGATCCGTTTGTATAGTCCACACTCTTTCCCACTATACTGTCCCATACAGTGTGTGTGTGTGTGTGTGTGTGTGTGTGTTTTCAACCTGTTTAGCCTTTCCACTGAGTCACTGCAGACGTCAAACAAAAGCAAAGACAGTAACGCCTCTGAAAGCCGCTTGTGTCCGCTCGAACGGCTCAACAAAAGTGAAGCAGAGCTGGGTTAATTATTTAAACAAAGATGGAGTGACCCCTCGGATCCGTCAGCGCTCTCGGACGGTCCTGGCCGAACCCTGCGCCGCCGCGGCTCCCGAAGCGCCCCGTTGTTATGATAATTAACCCCGTTAGCCTGCGCCTGTGAGCATTAGAGCCTCATTAGCAT